GGATGGCATCACTCCAAACCTCAAGGTAATTTATATTTCAGGTAGGCATGCTGTAGTTTAACAAGGCTATATATGGACAAATGGAAGCCTGATGTGGGAGCAGATGCACTGGAAGCATCAGCAGAGTTTATGGACAATAGCTGAATATCCTTCATACTGTAGGAACAAGCATAAGCAGTTGTTTTGTTTTGTTTTTTTGTGGGGTTTTTTTTTTTTTAATTGGATTTTGGGACAAAGCACAGCTGGTACAAAGCTTTAGCATGAATTCAAATGCTGCTGCTTGTTAGTGCAGTAACTGGTTATTTACAATTCCTAGCTTTTTCTTTGCTGTTTAATACTCTGACAGCCACAGACCTACATAGCATGTTGCAAACATAAGATTTTGGGGAAAATCAGCTGCTTGTTCTTACAGCATTTGGCAAGGCAGGAGAACTTAGTCACAACTTGCTAGTGGTAATCTTGCATCCTCCTTGGCAAAGAACAGGTGGGAAGAAGGAGACAGAGAGGGTGTCAGTATCCTTCTGGTCAGTGTAAAAATAGCAAGTTGGAAAAAAGTCAGACAGATGATTTAACCATTTTTCACCTCTTTGCTTAGAGAACCAGGGAAAAATTTGTTTGACAAATGAGTTATCACATCAGCCCCTCAGCAAAAAATAAAACCAAAACCTTTGTGAGCAAGAAAAGAACTATCCTTTCCCAGTTACTTTGTAGTTCTTACTTTAGTCTTTTGTGAATAATGGTCATTTGGGGATTTCTTTTAAAGTGTGGGTTTGGTTTTGGTATTGTTTTTGCTTTTGCTTGTTTTTGTTTTTATTTTTTTCCCCTTACAAAGAAGAAAGAAGTCGGCCTGTAGAGACATTAATTGTTGTGCCCTCCTTGCTCCAGGAGTGTTGGTGGTAAAAGAAACCCAGTGATCATCCTTAGTGCACATGGGCTGCATAATATTTGGTACCAGGCAGCAGGCGAGATGAAAGCGTGTCTCTTGACAGCCAGCTTCACACTGGCAGCCTTTACTGCAGGCAACAAATTAATCCACTCAGCTGTGATCTGCATAATTGTTGGTGCTGTCTTAATTGGTGCCATACGTTTCCCCGTGTCGACATGGCCATCGTGCTCATGTCTAGGGACTGCTGCTTCCTGCCAGCCCAGGAGCAGCACAGCCTGCTCTGGCCCAGCTGAACTCCCACCTGGAATGCCTGACTAAGAAACTGGATGTTGTGGTGAGGGGAAAATGAAGGGCCATGTCGGGGCATGACTCAAAATTCATGGGAATAAGAAGTGGGACTCCTGATTTCAGTAGTGTTTGGAGCTGAGCCAGCTCTTCCAGAGCTCCCTAAAGACAATCCATTCCAGCTGAAGTCAAATCTGAGGGCAAAGGAATTTATTCTCCTGCTCCCAGGAAATCTGTGGCAGGGGCAAGCAAACGTTTTCCAGGCTGTGGGGCGTCCAGGTCAAGGCAGTTGCAGAGCTCATTGACCCCAGAGCAGTGGCTTTGTGGGTTGGGATTATCATTCCAAATTTCATCCATTAATAAAGCAGCAGCCGAGGCAGAGCCTGGAGTGCAAGTGCAGCCTGCTGTCCCTCCTCCGTGTGCTGTGCTGGCAGGGCTGGAAGCTGCTGGGAAGGCAGGGAGCTGGCTGCAGGCATGCAGGGCCATGGATGGTGAGCTCCTGGGAGGGAGCAGCCTCTCACCAGCAGGCAAAGGCATCTCTGATCCCTCCCTCCCTGCCCAGGCAGGGTACAGGCACTGGGTGTCATTACCTCTGAAGTGGCAGCCTCAGAAACTCCCAAGTTAGGCACTGAAATAAAAAGGCACTTGTGGCCAGCTCTGTGGTCAGCTGCACACCTCCTAAATAAGAAGCACCATTCCTCTGCTTCACTGAGGACTTCACTGGAGTCTGGAAGCAGCCAAGATCCTTATGATGGGCACTCACTGAGGACTGCATGGGAATCCAACAGTTCTCTGTTCCAAGTGCTGGGACCATGAACAGTATGTCAGGCACAAGCCAGCAGACAGAGAGGAGGATCAAGTGTTGGATAACATTTTATTCAGTAGGTGACAGCCCTGCTAAGCACTGAATTATCTGGTTTGGGGAAAAAATGGCTCACAGTTTGGGATGTGAAGCTCTGCTGTAGAGTAAATGTGCAGGGAGAGCAAGTAGTGTTCGCCCAAGTGACCCTGGCCTCTGGATGCCACTTCTGCAATGAAATTGTTCCCTGTAACATTGCCTGTGCACAAAAACACACACACACACACACTCACTCTCCCTCTCTCTGCTCCAAAGGTTAATTGGTATGAACATCACTTATTTTCATCATCTCATGTGCCATCATTTCTTGTTCAAGCTGTTGGCTGGTTTTAGGCAAAAATATGTATGTAGAGATGAGAGAGGAAGTTTTTTTCCCCCTATCCTTTTGTAAAGCTATCAGGGTGTATTTAGGCTATGGTTAATGCATGGTTGAAAAGCTCATTTAAGAAATGAGCAAAACACTGCGAAACACTTGTTTTTGCAAAGGTTGTAAATTCTAATGTTGACATTTGGGTGTGGAGCAGGAGGAGAATAAATGCCAAAATAAATGTGTTACTATAATTTTCAGAGAAATTAGGTTGCATGATTTTTTTCAAGTGTAGCTAGAAAATATAAGTCTGCTGAGCTGTAGTGTTTTATTTAAAAGTCTTCACATTCTCAGAAACCTGTTTTTGCACGTGGGATGCAGTGGTAGTATTGGTAATCAAAATGCCAAGAGAAATGTTTTTGGTTTTTTTTTTTGAAAGCTGTGGAGTCCCTTACCCTTTGAGGTTTCCAGGAACTGGTATTGGAAAAAAAAAAAGTTGCTTTAGAAGGTTAATGTGAGAGACAGATAAAATAGCTGAACTAAAGTGAAACCTTTATGAAAAAGAAAAAAAATGCCGAGTGAGCCCTCTAAGCTATTTCTGGAGTCTCTTTGTACACCTTTTGGTGAGCCAAAGCACATCTGCAGTGCTGAGAATGCCCTGTCTGATGCAATTTCAAGTTTGGAATCACAGCTTCCACCCAGAATCCTGCCTAGCCTCAGAACTCAATATGGGCACCAGTTGGATGAGCTTTCTTCTTCCCCAGGTGTCTCGAGGAGCCTTCCACCAGTGCAGTCACTGCAGGGAGAGGTGCAGCTGAGAAATGCAGCTTTTGCAGGAAGCAGAGGCAGGAGGTGTTGGCTTTGTGCACAGAGGGATCATAATCTGTGGGCTGTCCTAATGAAAGCATCAGCCCAAGAGGTGTTTGACCTCCCCCAGAAGCTGAGCAGGCTCAGCACGGTGTCTCTGCTCCCCGGAGCAGGCAGGATTGGGCTGCTGCTGCTGCTGCTGCCTGGGCATTGCTCTGATGGAATCTGGCAGAAAGCAGCTCAAAGCACGGATCCACCTTGGGATCCTGGAGTTGCTACTACAGGTGTTTCTGCAGGGGGAAAAACCTTACCCATTACTTCAACCTGCTAAGAAATCATCTCAGCTAAGCTGTCTGGAGAGCTCTGGAACATTTCCCCATGCTTCCCCTGTAGCAAGAAGTCCTTAAAGAATCCTGAAGTGTGTTTTGTCAGCACTTGAAGTCGAGATTACATCATCTTGTAATATATGTCTGTAAAATGAAGGCATAGCCTTGATTTCAGAACATGTGCTGCTGTGAAGGAGACTGGAACACTGCGTCTGCTGGTCAGAGTACAGTCCTGCCTCCTTCCCCTGCTGCTTTAATTGCCTCTGGTAGCCTTTCCTAGCACAGGAAGTTTATATTATCTTTTCCAATTGAAACTTTATTAATGTTGAGTAAGGAGCGGGACTTTTAGATACTTTGTCTAATGTAGTTACTTGAGCACTTGGAATTTAGGGACCTAAACCGATAACAAACTGGACTGCCTAATGCTTCAAAGTTACATGTTATTTTTCATGAGAATTCTACTTTAGAATATATTTCTATTATACAATCATCAGGTGCTGCTTTTCCATATGATTCAGTTTAATCAAGATGCCATTATTTACTCCTTCTATGATTCTGGTAGTATGTTTTGCAATTTTTGGGGGAGGAAAAGGTCACAAATACAATTGGCTCAAATGCTGCAGTGGATTTAGGTTGCTTCTGCTTTTGACCAAGTCTAAATAGTACTTATCTTCCAAAAATATCACTTCTGGAAGTGGGGATGCTTTGCTGGGGCTATTGCCAGCTCAGGCAGGAATGGTGGTGTTTTGTTATCACTTCTCAGAGGCTGCAGTGCTAGGTGCTGGAGCTGCCAGTGAGCTGAGAGCCTTCAACCCCCCTGTCAGCTCCCACCTTGCCCTCCATAAACACCTCCAGCCACTTCAGCCTTGCCCAGCTCCTCGGGGGAACCATTTCAGCCCAAAACAGAGCCCCTGTAAATGACAAAAGTGTTTTACAAACCTGTGCGCCGAGTGGGGAAGGCACACACAGGGTACATTGTTCACATGTGGCTCTAACTGAAGCCACAAAGGGCAAGAAAAGGGGAGAGAGGCCACAGGGAAGTCACAAAGGAAGAGCCTCAGCTGGGCACCAGCCTGGCAGCTTGCTGCTGATGGCTGCAGCTGCACTCGGCTCCAGGGAGCCTTTCTGAGCTCCAACGTGCTGCAATTTAAATTAAGCTGTATGGACCTCAAGATTTTTGTGCTTTCATCCTGGCCCACCTAAATTCTGTCCACTTGATTTTTCTTTTTTTTTTTTTTTTTCCAATGATGCTCACAAGACGAAGCGAGAAACAACCTTATGTTTATCATAATTGTAGTATTTATATTTGAGGGAACAATTGGAAATAGTTCTAATGTTTAGCTGTAAAAATGGCTTTAATGTTTTAGATGGGCTTTAATCCATCCTCCTAAGTCTTTCCTTTTTCCCCTGGGTTAAACTTGAACCTTGTAAGCACTGATGATATGAAAAGATATAATTAAATAAATGTATCTAAAGAAATGAAGGGCATTAGGATTCTGCCAAGCTTTGTGCAGGGCTTACCTCTCTTACCTCTTATTTGGTGTTATATCTGGGCTCTCTTCCAAAACTTTGCATGCCTTGTGTGGCTTTCTTGGCCTGGCTGAAGCTGCACCCCAGTGTGCAGTGCTCCTGGATGTATCCATGGGGGTCGGATCCATGGGTGATTCCCCATGCCAGAGGCTGTGCCCAGCTGTGGTGGCAGCATCTGAGAAGACAAGGAGGTGCAGCATAAAGGTGTAATTAAGTTCCAACTTTCAGAGCTGATGAGAACATCACATTTAAACCCAGAGCAGGGTGAGGCAGGTCTGGGCTGCCTTGGATGCTTTTATCAGCAGCTGGTGCTGCTGCCTGCCTGTGACCTTGCTGCTGGAGGGATGCAAGATCAGAGATTCTTCTGCCACTGTGGTAGCTCTCAGCTGGGGCTGCTCTGCCCACTGGGAAGGGTCGTGGTGAGGAGTTGTGCTGAGAGAGGTGTAACCTGCAGTTCCTGCAAACTCTCAGTGGTCACAGCCTCAGCTCAGGACTTTTATTGGCCTTATTTCACTAAAGGTGTTTTTTTGGTTCTTACTGCCCTTTGTCCTTCCCCAGAGGAAGCCAGCTCTGTCACCACCAAAACTCTGCAGCAGCACAGACAGAACTGGGCACTTGGCCTGTTTCCAAAAGCAAGAGGAGATGAGTGAAGAGCTCTGTATTCTGTCTGTGAGGAGAGTGAGGTCATGGTGATGGTGAGGGCGCTTTGTGTTGGAGAGTTCATTATTAATTGTGTTATCTCGAGTTCCATGCTGGCTTTGTGATGCACCAAATGACCACCCTTTAGCAATGCAAAGCACTCCATCTCTGGGTTACAGAATACCTCTGGGTTCTGGTTTTCATTAAATTTGTTCTGCTGTGTGTGTGCCCAGCATTCCTTTCCCCTTAACACAGGCTTTTAAGCAAGCCGGGCCATAAAAATATTTACATTTTTCTATAGCCTTTGGTCTGTACACAGTCAAACAAGCATGGCACTGACTAAGAAGTTGTGGGACTGGGAATTCAGTGGGGATGCAGCATCCTAAACTGCAACAGGCTGGCTTGCCTTGCTCCCATCCCTGCACTGAGGAGGCAATCTCACACAGAAATGTCTCTGATGCCATCAAACTCCTTTACAGGCACCAGAAAGAGGTACTGTGTTGTGTCTGTCTAGACACAATTCCAACAGCAGCTTATTAACATTATTTTACTCATACGAAAAGCTCTTTGTTTTAAAGAAAGGTCTGGTGTTTGTTCAAGACATGTTTGATGCATTTGAAACCCCATACATAGCAAGGAGACTATAGTAGATGCCCTCAGCACTGCTTAAGGCTTTTAGTTAGAGGTGTCTTCTCTCCTGAGTCAGTCTTGATCCCTCACCCACTCCCCTGCATGCTGCTGACACCAGCTCTGTGATTGATGGTGCAGGATCTGGGTTTTGGGGCTTATCTTGCAGAGCAAACGTTTTTTCCATGTTCCTTGTTCCCTGTTCTTTGTACCCCTGTATGTGGCAGCTGGGGAAAGAGAGCTGGAGAGGGACTTTTGACAAGGGTGATAGCAGAGAATGGCTTTAAACTGGCAGAGGGCAGGGTTAGGTCAGATATTAGGGAGAAATTCCTTACTCAGAGGGCAGTGAGGCACTGGAACAGGTTGCCCAGAGAAGCTGTGGATGCCCCATCCCTGGGACTGCTCAAGGCCAGATGGAATGGGGCTTTAGCCACCTGGCTGAGTGAGAGGTGTCCCTGCCTGTGGGAGGAGGGGAAACTGGGTGAGTTTAAGGTCCCTTCCAACCCAAACCATTCTGTGCTGTGATTCAGGTGAGCTCAGTGGGACCAGCCAGGCTGGGGCAAGGACAGAGCCCAGGGCAGGAGCTCCAGCCCTCGGCACGGGGAGTGCTTGGTGCTGCAGGGGGTTGCTGCAGCTTCCTGCATCCAGGTGTCCCAGTTCCACTGAAAGTCTGTGGGATTCTGACTCTAGGCACTCTGTCACATGCTCCCATGCTGTTCCAAGTGAGCCTTCAAGTACAGAGACTTTCCAGCATGCCTGGCCACCCTGCTCCTGGTCAATGAAAGGTAGCAGCTTTGGCATGTTTGAAAACCCACTAAACATTCAGTGCAACCCTCCTTAGCCAAACCCCTCATTCAGACTCCCTTTCCTTTTGGCTGTATGCAGGAATCAGGCCCCTTGACTGTCCTGAAAGACATATTTTCCAGATGCTAAGGCAATTAGCTGTCTTCCTCTGTTATGAGGAAAAAATCTTGGACTGGCTTTATATCAATTTATGTATTTTTATATAAATATATATGTATATATGTATATTGTTGGGGTTAAGCACAGTATACACTACACTGTCTGATGTATCCACTGAAAAGTCAGGAAACAGTTTCTCTAAGAGCCACAATGTATTTCCCTGTTGTACTGGGTGGTGTGAATATGATTTTATGTATCCTTTCACATCTAAATGTCTGCATAAATACAAAAATATGGCTCTGTATCTATCATTCCGTGACTCTCATCTGTAATTTCTCTATGGACTGTATGTGCGATCGATCTATCTATCTATCTATCTATCTATCTATCTATCTATCTATCTATCATCTATTTTAGTTTAACCCTATACTAATCTTGGAGATATCATAGCAAAGTGTTTGTGGTTTTTACAGCAATATTTCTTTTTGCTTTGACACATGAATCAGCTTTGCAGGATGGTGCTCTGAGGAGTGAAGAGCTGGGAGGTGGCAGGTACAGGGGTGGCACACCTGAACTGCTCCTGCCTTCCCTGGAACATCCCCCTGAAGCCATCATTTATGGTAAATACTCCCTGCTGATGGCATTATTGCAGGAAATACTAAATGGATCTGATGATGAATACTTAGAGTCTTACCTTTCCTGATAACTCTATGTTAATGTAACATTAATTATTCCTGACTTACAATGCTGTTGAATGTTGATAAAGGCTGAATTGCTACTTGAAATGCTGATCCTGACAGTCTTGTGGCAGGCACTAAAATGTGCTTTCCCAGTCTTAGGGGAAAAAAAGGGAATACATTACTACTCTGATTATAGCACTTCAGAGGAAACATATTCCAGTCACATCTCGTGGAGCGCTCACCTGAATCCCTCTTGCCTTCAGCAGCCCTCGCCTTTGCACAGGACATAAAAGGAATATACATTTCCCTTCTCTTTATTTAAAATTTTATAGCAATTGCTGATGTGGGTTTAGTTCAGCATGTGTGAACCCTGCAAGAAGGATGCTGTCTGTCCATGGAGCAGTGGGCATTTCCTTCGCTGACAGCTGGCACATGGGAGTAAAACTTGTGGAGCAAGCACAGAGAGACCAATTCCCACTGGCATCACCTTCCCTGCAATTTTGAATGTGAGTTTTTTGCCTCCAAACACTGTCATTGCCCATTTCTGTGTCCCCACTGTTTATCTCTGGGTAACACTGCCATTTTCATGATATAAAGAACATGGGAACTGTAGCAAAGTTGAGGACTGGCAGGACTGGGAAACCACAGGGATTAATTTCCAATGATCCTGTCAGTTATGTTCAGCTCTTCTCCAAAAACTTCTCCTTCTCAGTGCTGTAGAAGGAAATAATCTCCATCCCTCCTCAAAATCCCCACCTGTGTGGCAGGGGAAGGGCTGAGGAAGGGAGAAATGCTTATAAAGTGGGATTTTGAGGAACCTTCTTCCACTGTCCTGAACAAGCAACTGCTTGTGGTCTTCACTGTAGGAAAAAATGTTCCATCTTTCAGAGGGTGTTTGAGGTTTCTGTTTGTTTGTTTATTTAAAAAGAAAGCATCTGGCATTTGTGTGCAAACATTAATGAGTCACTTAAAATAGACTCGGCGCTGCACTTGTGAGGCTGGGATCTTCCAGCTAGGAGAGGAGAGATGAGAGGGAGCTGGCACACCCTGAAGGACTGCTTTCCAAGGATGAGGAGGGGACACAAACTTAATTTTTACCTCCCACCTCACCACCAGTGCTGGGGGCACTTCCAGCCTTCTAAAACCCCTCGGTGAGCACTTTGAAACCAGAGCTAAAATGGGTTGTTTGAGGCTGCTGTGCCCTCTGTGCAGAGCCCAGCACTGGGCTGTGGGTCTCTCCAAGGAAAGCAGTTTATTTCTGGCACTGCACAGGGCCACAAATAGACCTGCTGGTGGGGAGGGACAAGTGTGGGCTGGTCTGGCTCTGTCCTTTCTGCAGTGTCAGCTGGCAGCTGGAACCACTCGAGACCATTAAAATTCAGAGATGTATGAGAAGTGAGGCTCTAAGAAGACTCAGCCTTGTTCTCAGAGGTTCCTGAGCAGCACAGCAGGTCAGGAAGCCCTGGCTGGAGCAACATTTGATTCCAGCAACATTCCAGCAGATGGGGATCTATTGCTGGGGCTATAGGAACTTGTGGGGTTTCTTAACAGGAGAAAATCTCCCAGTATAAATAAAACGTTTACATCTCCAGCAGTGTAACACTCAGAGAATTCCCGTTTTGGGAGAAAGAAAGCTTCCTGCTTTAGATTTATCTCTGGGAAGGAGCTGTAAGCTAAATCTCCCAACAGGAAGAGGTACTTTTGTGTCAGGTTACACTTCCACCATCTGTTCTGTCACTGACAGCATGATGATGCTGTGTTGGTGTGCCAAGTATTTTCCTTCTGTAAAGCCCACACACTTCAAAATTATTACAAAGAAGCTACTGCATCACATACAAGCACTTCATTTTGTTTCCTGCTTGGTTTTGTCTATTTATGCTTCTCTGGACTTTACTATAGAGAGGAAAACAACTGAACCAACTCCAGCACCTGGGATATGTTTGAGAAATTGAGAGATCTGTGTGATCCAAGCACCTGCTGAAACTTTCCCCATGCACCCAGAGAGATGCTCTCTTGTGTTCCTCCCCTCTGTCATAGTGAACTCATTCATCTTCTGAATTGCTTTTCGTAGATGGCTGCTGAATCATGCACAGAAACTCTCATGGAAGGGAGAGCAAAACCTTCCTCAGGCAGTGCTCAGCAGTGAAGGGTGCTCAAATGCATTTTGCTGACTGCTGCTGCAGAGAAGGTTCAGGACATGCAGGTCCAACACCCCTGTTCATGGAAGTAATTTATATTTGAGGAAAAGCTATAATTAAAAAAAAATACTTTAAATAGGTAGATCTTAACTCCTTTTGCCTTTGGAAGCAGCTGTGCCTCTGTGTGT